AGGAAATCCGCGGTGGCGAAGACAGTTGGCAGGCCATGAATTTGAACCCAGAAGGACACCGCATCTAGCACGACATCTTTCGGTCGGATATCTTTGGGGACTACATCATAGATTAGGAGGCTGTTTTCGAAGGTCCAGGGGCCATCATCAATGACACGCTTGAGATCCTTCGGGTGGGGGAAATTGGAAAAGGAAGAGCTCCTCCGTCAAGGGAATCACCTGCATTCCGATCACAGGTCTCCAAACAGAGGCTAACGTTTGTTGCATAAATTAGAATTTGATCGGTCGATTTGTCAGAAATCGTCCAACGAGGTTATGGTGGATCGTCGCATCAGGGCTGGCTTGGATCTCAGGCGCTTGCAGGTCTCCCGATTCTTCCTCAGCCAGAGTCATGGCCGCGCAACGCTCCTCAATATGGCCGGTATCCATGATGAATTGTGGATTGCAAAGATACATACTTATCAGAAAAACACAGATTCGCAGTGAAAACTCCATTGGGAAGACAAAACATATAAAGCCCTAGATGACTAGGGAAACACTCCCTCAGCCTGCGCTTAGAGAGGGGGCCACGTTCAGAAGGAAATGCAAAGACACGATCACCGGAAGCACGAACAAGGATCACGATCGGAAAGAGGGATCGGAAAGTGGCGAGGAGATGCGAAAGTTGCGGAGCATTTTTCAGAGGTTACGCAGGTTGATACTGAAAAAAACTTTTTATGCATTTACTATCTTAGTCCAATCTAGTTTGTGTTTTTATAAGTAGTCGAGTTGTTTTGCCAAATAATAGCCAAAGGGGGAGTTTGTTAGTGTTTTAATTTCTCAAAAAAAAACCCATCATATAATTGGCAATATTATTATGGTAAACTAAAATAGGGTTAGCTTGGTATCGGTTTGTTCTACAGAGGACTGATTGATCAGATATAGCAACAGAGGGACTGACACTGAAGATCTATTTTATGAAGATGTTTCCTTTTGCAGAACGCGGTTTAAGAAGGCAAGTTTTGGAAAGAACATCTGTAACACCCCAATTTTCTTATCCAAAATTTCCTTAAATTTTTTTCCTTAATTTAGAATTTTACAAAAACCATAGCGGAAACATTAACTAACCAAAAGAAAAGTGGGTGTTACCGCCACGCTCAGGTATCTCTCTATACCCAAACACTAAGGCTAATAATACAACTTCAACAAACAACTCAAAATATGTATTAGTACAAAAACAACTAACAATTAAAATGTCTAACTAATACATGATATATCTAGGTGGTTCGCTCATTCTCATGCCCAATGCTCATGCAAGAGTTCCTGCAAAAACAATTAAAGGATAGAAAACAAAGAAACACACAAATTCAGCATTAAGCTTGTAAGATCTACTTCACCCCGTAAAACATTTTGCACATAGTACATAGGAGCAGATAATTGGCATAAAGCGTAGACCCTTTAAATATTTAATCTTTTATCATCAATAGAGCATAATCATATAGAACATAACTCAAATATGAAATACTCAGAATTTCCAACAACCATAATTTCCCAACAATACTCATAATTTTTAATACCAAATCAGTAGTTCTCACAATGGATATTTTAGGAACCTTTCAAAAGTAATATATTTATTCCAACATGGAGGAACACCAATTCCAACAAAATGGGCAGGGTCTTGTTTCATCAAGCCCTAGTGAACAGTAATCACTCTACTGGACACTACACAAAATCCCATTCAATCTCAAATAATGGGCAGGGTCTTAATTATTTAAGCCCTAGTGAACAGTAATTCTCTTTACTGAACACTACTCAAAAATCCCAATAAAGTGGAACAGAACTAATACCTTAAGTGCGCACACCCCCAATGGGTTTCCAAGCCCAATGGGTAGTAACTAGTCCTAGTAGTCAGGATACGTTTCTACTGACTACTACTCAACAGGGTAAATACCCAAGTGGTAGACTCCGCTAACCACTCCTCAAAACAACAGGTAAAAGTCCTAGTGAGACAGGATATGTTTCTACTGCTCACTCCACAAAACAACAGAGAGTTTTTAAGCTCCCTAGTGAGTCGGTATATTCAACCGCTCACTCCACAACAAACTGGGTCATAACCCAAGTATCCAGAATTTCACAACAGGATACTACACAAGTCTTAAGAATCAATTTCCTTTATCCTCCATCTTTATAAAAGTGACAACATTACTGACATTTCTCAAGCAAACAAATTCTCAACATCTTAAATAAGGAATTGACAGAAATTTTCAAAAGGCATAACCTGAATTGCAAAATTTATAGAAATATATTGGTAACACATTTTCGGATGAAATTTTCCAGATACAAGGTACAGTGAGTCTAGATTATACACAAAAAGTTTCAAATCAATCCAAGGTCTAAAAGTATTTTTCCCTAATTATTTCCCAACACTGCGCCAGACAGAAATTGAACTGGCAGCACACTGCCTCCACTTTACGAAATTTTTCTGGAAATATCGAAACATATTTTTAACCCAAACTTTTTACAAACATCAATTATAACAAGTCTAAGTTCTCCATAAAAACATTCAAGCAAAAACAAGTTTAGGAAGCATTTTTCACGAATTTTTCTTTCCAGCTGCGCCAGTCAGAATTTTCACAGGCAATAATCAGATTGAGTAAAAAAATTTTCTTTTTAATCACCACAAAATCACCATATCACATATGCAGGGTTTTCAACACATCTAAACTGAGTAAACTCATATATCTATCCACATAATATAATCAAATAACTTACAACACTAAATATCATCAATTTTTTTTCAAAATCATGAATCACATAAACAATTAGAAAAATCAATTTTTGATTTGGGGTAAAAGGATTTTAGTGAACATAAATCTTACCCGGGCTAATTAAAAGTTGAAATACTCAGCGCACATCCGAAACACCTATACTCATTGACCCTCGTCTGCGAGCTATAATTGATGATGATGATGATGATGGAGGACCGGACTATGTTGATGAAGGAGGAGACTAACGTTTAATTTGTTTTTATTCTTTCTTCTATTTGGCGAGAAGATGATCGGTGAGAATTGATAGAGGAAAATATTTAGGATAAGAAAAATACATAATCAGATTAGAGTTATAGCAAGATTAGGATTATAGGTATATATGGGATTAGAGTTGTGTAACAGAAAGAAACATATTAAATGGGATTAGGATGATTATGAGGAGGATTAGATTACATACTTATTATATATAGCAAAACAGTGTGTACTAACATATTTAATATATATGTACATCCGTAACACATTAACATATATATCATATGTTTGCATAAATAATATATGTTTATTTATAAGCATAAGTATATATCATTGAAAAATATATTAATTAAATAATTTCAAAAATATTTTTGGGTTATATAATAAAATAATTTAATAGTAGGCTAACATAATTTTGGATCATTCAAATTAATTTCGGAGGGTATTAAATCAACATAATATTATAAAAAATAACGGGGTATCACAAGATCAGTGTATCTATTTTGGAAAGGTATGGACCGGATCTTTAAGTTTACATTCTTCTTATATCGTCCTACCATCTACAATCAAAGGTATCTATGGAGAGTGTTCTTATTATGGAACTATAAGTACTCTTATTCGATCAAGAATTAGGGTTACGCTTTTGAGAAGAAAGAAACACCCCGAAATATACTAAGACATTACATCTTTGATTATCATGACTCTTCTCAAGATAATTTGTTCTTGTTGATTATGATGAAGAACTTGAGAAAAGATATCGTTGCTTAAACGAAAAGGAAACTAAGATCACACTGTTGTGGGAACAACGTTGGACTTCGTCATTGAAGTGGACTGCATCAGAGTTAGCTCTCCAAGTGAAGGGATTTCATTGGACTTCTGTATGCACGGCTCTCCATCTTAAACAATCCACAAAATCAGTGTAGACTGGGTACGTACCTTGTGTGGGCACTTGGGTGAGATTATTGTTCTCTACCTTTGTACATTGGATGATTTGTTAGTGGATTGGACGCCTATGTGATCGTCTCCCAGATGTAGATACACACTATATCGAACTGGGTAAACATCTTGTATGTTGTTCTTTTCGCTGTCTCCCTTAGTTTATTCTTTTCGCAAGTTAATTAGTGTTCAGCTATCTGACTGATGTCATCGCTGAATCTGTCAGACTAATTCGTCACTCTTTTAATTAATATCATTAAATTGAGAGAATGCAAAATTACAAACCAGCGTGTACGTGACTGTGATGTTTTTTAAGATGCTCATCCAGATTTCACACTTCACAGCTTGACGAAGTCATGCATCTTTTACGAGAAGAATCATTCATCAACAAGTCAAGACTTCAACCAGTTGGAGGATTCTGTTATTCCTTTCCAATCCTCAACTCTGAAGAAGAAGTTGATAGAGGCGGAGTAAACTCAAGGAGTTGAAAAACCTACACAAGTAGCTGTCGGGCTTAGTGATCAAGGAAGCTAGATTGTTTAGTTTGTAATAGGAGTGATAGTGCAAACCCTGGCCTTTCACAAGTTGTGAAAGAAGAGTGGACTAGGCTTTATTAATAGCCGAACCACCATTAAAATCTCTCTCTCACTCTCCCATTACTTTCGTTTAACTATCTATCTGACATTGCATTCATATTGACCAAACCCTAAAAGATTTCTCATATTCAAATTGTGCAAAGTTTAATCTAAAACAAACCTACATTTTTCCGCTGTGTATAACTTCTGAAAGGAATTGTTAATAAATTTCGAGTAGAGTCTATTCATCCCCCCCCCCTCCCCCTCTAGACTCACTTTCGACCCTACCGGGACCAACAAGTGGTATCAGAGCAGTTGCCTTGAACGATAAACGCTTTGCATTTACTGCCTGGTAGATCCCCTTTCGAAACTTTAGAAAAATCTCAATTCTCTCTTTGCACATTTTTCTATAAAAGTTGAAAAAGATCATGGAAATAGATCTAGGATACTTGCTTTCAACTTGTCTTAATTTGATGACTGGAAAGTGAGAATGCAAGCACACCTTTCGGCTATTCACGATGAGATGTGGGGTGTTATAGAAAATGGCCCCATCATGATAACAATGGTCAACACGCAAGCAGCAGCTCAAGGAGCAGATCCTACAGTGCTGATTCCAAAGCCTAAGTCCCAGCTCACCTCAGAAGAAAAGACGAGAGCAAACCTTAACAACGTTGTGCGTGACATCCTATATAAGTGTCTGGACGATTCATTGTTTCCAAGAGTGAGAAAGTGCAAGACAACCAAACAAATATGGGATACCCTCATGGATCTAGGTGAGGGAGATGAGCAAGAAAAGGACAATAAGCTAACCATGGCTATGAAGAGATTCGAAGACTTCAAGATTCTTCCTAATGAAATAATTGGCGAAATGGAGTTTCGGTTCACAAATCTTCTTGTAGACATCTCTGACCTTGGCAAGGAACCAACTCAAAAGGAGATCAACTTGAAGATTCTCCGTGGATTACCAAAAGCATGGGATATGAAACTGACTGCCATGAGAGATCACCGAGACCTAAAATCCATTCAAACAACTAAAATATTCAGTGACCTCAAAGCTTATGAGTTCGAGAATGAGCCCAAGGAAATTGAGGAACCCGAAACCATAAATATCGCGCTTGCAGATAGTAAGCAAACTTCTACTTCAAACAGGTCAAATTCTAACCCATCTGAATTTTTATCTGACGAACAGTTTTCTCTATTTGTGCGAACATTTAAAAGGTTCATAAGAAAGAACAAATTTCAAAAGCTGCAAACATTCCCAAGTTCCTCAAACCGAAGGCAAGCAGAAAGATCATCCTATCCCAAGAAAACGGAGACGGAGGAAGCTCAGGTGCTATGCTACAATTGTAGAAAGCCAGGACATTTCAAGGCAAACTGTCCCCATCCCATTGTCCGCAAATACCATGATAAGGAACCTATCACGAGCTCTCCAATCGAAAGAAAGGATGCACCCGAATCGAAAAGAGGAAACAACCGACAAGAGTCCAATCTGTCACGACACGAAAGAAGAAGGATAGCAATGGTCGTGAATGAATCAAATGAAGTGGTTGAACCCGAAGAGAGCACGTCAAGCTCCATTTCAGATATCGAAAGTTCAGAAGCTGAAAAAGTGCTCCTCTGTTTGTTTAGCCGAGAGGAAAATGAAAATCATATATGCCTGATGGCCAACCATGATGAGGTAAACTCTCAACCCTCCTTTTCTACTCAAATAGAATCTAGTTCTGAGAGTGAAGAAAGTTCCAATGAATCAGTTAACAAAATGATAAGGGACTTTGAAGTTGTAAAAAACACATACTCCAAGTTGAAAGAAGAGAACTCTCGACTTATGATCAGTTATGACGAGCTCAGAAGCGTTAGAATAAAAAACATAGAGCTAGCGATCACCAATGATCAACTCGAGAAGCAGGTTCTTCTTCTTAAGGAGCAGTGCACAGAAAGAGAATTACGGGAACAAAATCTGCGTGAGGTTATTGCATTATTTACCAATTCATCTAAGATGATAGATAGAATGGTGAATGCATCAAGACTGCTAAGGGAAAAAGCCAGAATTGGCTATAGCCGAAGCTCCCCATCACAAATCTTGTTGAACAAACCCACGGATCCTTCTTCCAATGGAGTAAAAAATCTGTGTTTGTTCAAGGACCAACTCAGATGCCCGAGCCAATGAATCAGATTAACAAGGGTAAAACACCACAAACAACAAGCCATTCCAATGGAAAAGCTATCGAAAGTGTTGTGGAACCAACGAATGGAAATTTATCGAAAGGCAATCCCAGACATGGCAACATTGTCAGAAGGAATGGAACAAAAGTAAATAGACCAAGTCTATACTACAACAAAGATCAGCCTGCGAGAAGTAACTGTTTGAAGGTAAACCCGAATGTTAATCAGAGGCAAGTTCGTTCTATGAATCAACGCAAAGGTTATTCACATGAAGGTCAGAAAATGAACGAAACGTGTGTGTTAAGCCTAAGAGGTCACTTAGAAGACCGATGACAGGCAACAGAAGGAGTGGACCTTCCGAGGAAGACTGGCTTGTGTTTCCGAACCTTTGTCGAAAGCAGAATTCGAGAAAATTCACAAACACAAACAGACTAACTATTCTAAGGTGTATTGGAATCCACCCGAAGCCTATTTTAAAATTCAATGCAGAGCCAAAACTTTTGCAAAAATCCCTTTTACATATCGCGTGTTTAATGGACACAGGGGACCAAGGATGAGCAACACCAGCTCTAGGTTTGTCTGGATCCCGAAATTATCCACTAACCTTAAAGGACCCGAAATCGAAGGGGCACCTAAAAATGCATAATTTTTTATTTCAGGACAATAGGGTCATGTGGTAGGTTGACAGTGGATGCTCAAGACACATGACGGGTGACAAATCAAATTTGAGCAACTACAAGGAAGTTAATGGCCCGAAAGTCATTTTTGGAGGAGAATCTTGTGGAAAGACGAAAGGAACGGGTGATATCGTCAGAAACAGATTAATCATTCGAGATGTTTCATATGTAGAAGGACTCAAGTTTAATCTCTTAAGTGCTAGTCAACTTTGTGACAAGGGTTTCAAAGTGGAAATTTCAAATGGTAAATGCAAAGTCATCAGTACTGAAAATGGAGACATCGTCCTATCAGCAATTCGAAAGAAGAATATGTACGTAGTTGCATGGGAATCCTCAAAAGCAAATGCTTGTCTTGTCGCCAAAAGTAACATAGATTTGAGTTGGGAATGGCACCACAAGATGAATCATGTAAATCTTAAAATCATCAACAAATTGGCCAAAAGAGACCATGTAGAAGGCTTGTCGAAAGTTGCTTATGTCAAAGACAGAGTTTGTGATGCCCACAAAAAAGGAAAACAGATCAAAGCTTCATTCAAGTCTAAATAAATAGACACAAACTCTCGACCATTAAGTCTTTTACACATGGATCTATTTGGACCAGTTGATCCTGTTAGTCTAAGTAGACGAAAGTATACTCTCGTTGTAGTGGACGACTACACAAGATATACTTTGACATTATTTATAAGGAAAAAGAATGAGACTGAAAGGATGTTACTAGAACTCTTATGACAGCTTCAAATAGAAAAAGAAGTTTGCATCATACGAATCAAATCAGATCAAGGGACAGAGTTCGTGAACAAAGTAGTCAAAGATTTATGTGGACAAAATGGCATTTTTCATCAACTATCGGCTGCACGAACACCTCAACAAAATCGAGTTACCGAAAGGAGAAACAGAACTCTCAAAGAAGCAGCACGAAAAATGGTAGCTCATTCTGGATTACCTAAACGTTTCTGGGCTGAAGAAATTAACACTGCTTGCTACACTCAAAATCGATCACTCATCAACAACACTCATGGACTCACCCCTTATGAGTTATGGAAAGGTAAGAAACCTTCAGTTAGTTATTTTCATGTCTTTGGGTGCAGGTGCTTTGTCCATAACAACCGAAAGAATCATCTAAAAGCCTTCGATGAAAGAGCTGATGAAGGATTGTTCATGGGTTACTCTACAGTTAGCAAAGCCTTCAGAATTCTAAATAAAAAAACAATGGTCATAGAAGAATCTATTTATGTCAAATTCGATGAAAGAACTGAAAAGATCCATAAGTTGATGAAGCAATCAATGTAAGAAATCTAAGCATTCAAGCTAAGCCAAGCAATGTGGAAGAAGAAAGTTTGGATCATGAAGATATTTTATCATCTGATTAGAAATATCAGTCGAAATCTACTGAGCCCGAAACAAAACCTCAACCCGAACCCAATGTTGAGGAAGTTCCACCTACACCTTAAACTCAACCCGAACCAATGATATATGTTGAGTTGCCTTATATTCCAGAAATTGACGAGCATGCTCAACCAACAACTTTTGAACCAGATTTAAGATGCTTAGGAGATCATCCGTCAAATCAAGTCATTGGGAACGTTCAAGAAGGAGTGAGAACTCGTGCGTCCATACACGAAACTATGATGGCATGCTTCTTGTCTCAAATTGAGCCAAAATCTCTTGAAGATTCCTTAAGTGATCACGATTGGATGACTGCCATGCAAGAAGAACTCCATCACTTTGAAAGAAATGAAGTATGGGAACTTGTTCCCAGACCTACTCATCAAAATGATATAGGAACCAAATGGGTTTTTCGAAACAAAATGAGTGAAGATGGAGTCAAGAAAAATGAATAAATTTTGATGAAACATTTGCTCTAGTCGCAAGACTAGAAGCAATACGAATCTTCCTTGCCTATGTTGCCTACAAGAACTTTAAGGTGTTCCAAATGGATGTAAAAAGTGAATTTCTAAATGGACTTCTTGAAGAAGAAGTATATGTGGAACAACCTCCAGGTTTCGCTACAAATCGTGAAAGTGATAAAGTTTATCACTTAAAGAAAGCCTTATATGGCTTGAAACAAGCTCCAAGAGCCTGGTATGATACACTGTAACACCCCCTAATTTCCATGCTACATTAAGCCTTAGACATGCAGATAACTAATCATAACATTATGCACAGCGGAAGACTAAACAAGGGTTATATATATAGGAAATAAAGGGTGCTATACCACGTCCACTCAAAGGTGAACGCACAGGCGAAACATCTACAAAATCCATACATAAACAAGAGTACTAATGTCTAACATTGGCACACAGGCCACAACAGATCAAAACAAAGGGATCTAAGCTAATAGGTTCTAGACCGCGCTCTCGTCTACTCATCACCTGAAAGAAACACATAAAATATGGGACGACGCCCGGTTAGCGAATGATGTTGGTAACCCACCAATACATGTGAAATATCATATGTAGATAGTTTATATGTATACAAAATCATTTGCAAAACGGGATATAGTATATATCAATTTCAAAAGCCAAGATAGAGATCAACACCAGACTCTTTGCACTCACAATAAAGATAAGGGAACACATTCCAAGACAATAAGAGGTACAACGAGACACAAGAACGGCTCAAGGCATAATCTACAATCACACAGTAGATTAACACCCGACATGCATAACACAAGAGAATAAGGACACAACCAATGGCAACACATTGCCTTTGCGACTACACACGTCACAAATAGAGAAGTACACAACAACGGCTACACAAGCCTTCGTGACATCACCCATCACGAATTGAGATGCCTTCCTTATGCCCGGTTCCAACCTTATGGCTACCCCCAACCTTATGTCTAATTCCAACAATTACCTCCAGGACCCCTGTACTTCTGAGTCCAACCTTTTCCCTCCTGGTACCGATCACACACACGACAACACATGCCACCCAAGAAATACGTGAACCCATCACTCAAGTCACAAACTCCATAATCGCATCATGGCCACCACAAGAACCACTATCGTACCTTGGTGCTAGTGTCCCATACCACTAATCGTGCAATCCAGGTACAGCCACACGCACCACACCTCAACAGGAATCAAACAACGGATCACAACAAAGATATGAAACCATACTCAATCAAGTAATGGATCACAGTCCAACAACAACGATGATTAACACAAGTCATCATCAACAATAGGAAAGTACAAACAACACACATGCTAGCATTTAAAAACCAAACTATCATACTTATCAAACGGGTAAACCAAACATAGTTCCGAAGAACACACAAGACTCGTCACGGTTCAACGAATCACAATGTTGAACACTTAGCACGATTCAAGACACCAAAACCTACATGGATTCCTTCCATATAGTTCAAGACATACGAAACATCAAGAAGACGCTCAAATAGTTCCACAAAAGAACATCGGGAAGTCAAAAGACCAAATACCGAGTCAAAAGAATCACGGGGAACAAATCCCCTAACAACCACATATTGTTCCCCGCGGGTAGACCCACGGGTAGACCCCCACCCGTGATTCTGCCCGCGGGTACCACACCCACCGGCCATGTACCCCGCGGGTGGGGCGACAGGTGGAGCTCTGCCCAATAATCCCTTCGGGGATTTTCAACACCAAGCTCAAATTCAAGTCCAAACATGCCAAATCTCACCAAATACAACAAAATGACTTGAATCAAAGGAATAGCTAAGCAATGGCATATAAGAACCCTAATAACAAGCTCTAGATATGCTTTTTCAAAAGACAGTGCATCAACACTCACATTTCATAGCAAAACACGTGTAGAATCTAAGAAATCATCACATAGGTATATATAAATATATATATAAATATATATATATATATATATATATATATATATATATATATATATATATATATATATATATATATATATATAATAGAAGTTCAGGGGAACATATTCAGAATAGTAGTGATATACCTATTTATATATAAATGTTCGTTTAGGGGGTCCTCGTCTTAGTGGCTAAGGGTTCTAAACAGGGTATTGGAGGCTTGTGGTCTATTATGCAACATGGGCCACAGTCTAGAGGTATAACTAGCTTTTAAGATGGTTTGGGGATGCAATATAATTTTTCCAAGGATAATTTCTAGATGACCACTTGGTTTAGGTTCCTTGGGTCAAAACATAATATGCAATGTACCCGAGGGTTTAGATTTCTAGAAGTAGAATTAGTCCCTATAATTTCCATGTAACTTATAAACAAATCATTTAGGAAGATCATTCGACTTTCATGTTCAAGCATTTGATTGTTGCTTACATGTTAAACACATAAGAAGTATCAAGGAAGGCA